CTAAATAAAAATAAGAAATATCATTAAGTATCAGGGTCTTGGGGCGCCTGGGTGGCTCAGTCGGTTGGGCGTCCGACTTCGGCTCAGGTCAGGATCTTGCGGTTCGTGAGTTCGGGCCCCGTGTCAGGCTCTGTGCTGACAGCTCTGAGCCTGTAGCCTGTTTTGGATTCTGTGTCTCCCCTTCTCTCTGCCCCTTGGCTGCTCACAGTCTGTCTCTCTCTCTGTCTCAAAAATAAATAAAATATTTTTAAAAATTTAAAAAAAAGGGGGCACCTGGGTGGCTTAGTCGGTTGAGTGTCCGACTTTCGCTTAGGTCATGATCTCGCGGTTCGTGGGTTCGAGCCCCGCATCGGGCTCTGTGCTGACTGCCAGCTCAGAGCCTGGAGCCTGTTTCAGTCTGTGATTCCCTCTCTCTCTGACCCTCCCCTGCTCACGCTGTCTCTCTCTCTCTCCTAGAAATAAATAAAAATATTTAAAAAAAAATTTAAAAAAAATAAAATAAAATAAATATAAAAATTTAAAAAAAGGATCCGAGTGTTATTCAGAAGAGTTATACACCCAAAGAACCCGCTAAAAATCTTAGAAGCAACTTAAGACAACACAAATTTATGATCTCATCCTCCCGTAGGTCAGAAGTCCAACACAGTTGGACTGAAGTTTCTGCTCCGGGCCTCATAAGGCTGAAATCATGCAGTTGGCCAGCCTGGGCTCCTATCTGGAGGCCCTGGGGGAGCGTCGGCTTCCAGGCTCCTTCCCGTCGTTGGCAGCATCTAGTTCCTTCTAACACTTCCTAAGGGCCTCTTCTGTCTTCCAGCCAGCAGCGGCACTTTGAGTGAGTCCTTTCTGCGCTTTGAATCTGTCCGCCTCTTCTGCTTCCAGACAGAGACATTTCTCTGCTATTGAGGGCTCCAGTGATTAGGTTGGGCCCGCCCCCCCAGATAATCCAGGATAATCTCCTCATTTTAGGATCTATAATCCTATTTTTTAATGTGTATTTATTTTTGGGGGGGAGGGGCAGAGAGAGGGGGACAGAGGATCCGAAGCAGGCTCCGCGCTGACAGCAGAGAGTCCCGGCGTGGGACTCGAACTCACAAACTGTGAGATCATGACCCGAGCCGAAGAAGTCAGAGGCTCAACCGACTGAGCCACCGGGTGCCCCTAAGATCCATGACCTTAATCACATTTGCAAGGTCCCTTTTGCCTCGTAACAGAACATTTTCGCGGGTTCCAGGGATGAGGGTGAGGGCGTCTTTTCTGGCGGCAGGAACCGGGTCAGGAGTGGTAGGGCAGGGGCCCGCTTGTTTGTTGGTTGGTTGGTTTATAAGCCCTGTGGTATTCCGTGACTTTTTAACTTAAGTCCGCGTTTCCTTTTGATCAAATGAAAACCAAAACGTTTAATTCCATAGCCACGTTCGTAAGTATTGAGTTCCAAGGGACCCTACATTAGGTAGTGTATCAAATGTGTCATTAGGCAAGTGACCTGTATTATACAAAATCCATGTTTGTGCTTCTAGGCAAAAGGACGTAAGATCTGCAACACATGTTAAGAAATATTTGTTAGGCGCAATCATGGCGGGGGCCCTTGGGGAAGTTCTGATTTGGATGGCCCACGGGGCTCATCCAATGTATCAATTCCTGGGTTCTTACCGTTGTTTTAAAGGACCCGCTCTGATTATTATTGGCAGCTACTGCTAGTGGTTAGCGACTTCCTGGAGCAACAGTAAATGGAATGGCTGTGAATGCAGTTTCTTGCTATGGACAGCCAGCCATTATCTTCGTTTTTGTTAGATGTCTCAACAGAGCTAACCTAGTCCGACGACCTCATTTCACAGATGAGAACACTGCCGCCCAGAGACAGGAAGGGGCCTGCCCACGGCATTGCTAGTGTTTGTGGCAAAGATCCTCGCTCCGGAATGGGCTCCACAACTTAACAGCCACTGTTACGAGCGTTGGATGGGAGGAAAAATTCCTAGGTCGAACACCTTCATCTTACAGGTGGGGAAGCAGACAGGAAGGCATGCCCGCCCAAGGTCTTTTGGGATGCCTACAGTTTCATCTATGAAAGTCTGTGTTCCATTGCTCTGTGTAAAGTAGCCTCCTCCAACTAATCACCTGAAGCTAAGCAAAACGTATTCACATCTAAATTCCTAGTACCTTACCTAGCACCTAGATGACTGAATGCACAAATGAACCTAGATGCTGCGAAAAGCTCACGTAAATGATTTAAATTCTCAGCTTCTGTTTGCTAAGCGACTTGGCCATGATTTGAAATAAAATGTTTCTTCTTTATTTATTTTTTGAGAGAGACAACGTGAGCAGGGGAGGGGCAGAGAGAGACAGGGAGAGAGCAAGAGACTCCCAAGCAGGCTCCGCACTGCCAGCTTGGAGCCCTGATGTAGGGCTCAACCCCACGATCTCGTGACCTGAGCCGAAATTAGGAGTCGGACGCTCGACTGACTGGGCCACCCAGCTGCCCCCCAATGTTTCTTCTTCTTGAGGGAGCTGCCTCCTTAGAACAAGTAAACCCATCACTGGCCATCTAGTACAGGCTCTAACCTTGGGCTGACTTGGTTAAGTGTCTGAGTCACTTACTAGCTGTGTGACCGTGAGTACCCAACTCATTTTATGTCTGTTTCTTCATCTATAAAATGAAGATCGTAACGGCCATCTCACGGGACTCACAGGGGAATTTAGTGAAATAGTACATGTACCTTGGCATGCATGTAGCCACTCGGTAACTATTTTCTTCTTATGTAATTTTTATACCAGCGAAATATTTTCCCGTTGCTAACAGTAAACTAATAGCATGGTCATTAGGAAAGACCCTTAAAGGCCAAAGAAACTTCAGGAAGAAATCATCTTGGGGATTGATGTCAAAAGTTATCTAGCGCATCCAAATGTCAATCCAACTCCCTTCCTTAAAGTAAAAGCAGGCCAAGGTTTAGCTACAGTATTTACAAAGAACTTTATTGCTTTCTAACCATTAGGGCTTCAAAATAGTTTCTGAGGTAAGTGTTCTTGTTTCCTTGTTTTCTTCTAAAATGACTAATAGTCTAATAGCATAATCTGTTACTCATGTGAGCATAGAGTTATGCTTGGAAGAGAGGAGGGCTTTATGGAAAGGACAAAATGGTAAACACTCTGGAAATTAAACGTACTTCGATCATTCTGTCCCCCCCGAGACAAGGTGAACATGTTTATGGCTGCAAAAAGATGTTTTCCATAGATCTCAAGCAGACAGAAAACCTCGAGCTTCTGCAGCTCAAATGCTTCCTGTCAGAATATTCAGTACGCGGGTGTATGAAGCAGCAAAGCTTTCTTATTTAAAACAAAACATACTTGGGGACAGATTTCCAGAATCTTCTTGGATCATTCTAGACAGTTACAGAAATAACCCTCACGGGCGTCAGCAGCCCCTACCCACACCCTTGGATTTGGATTTTGTAAAGATTTCGGGGTAGTCAATAAATGCGGTCTGCTCAAAGACTCACTCTTAGAGCTTAACATTGTTAAAGAACAGAAATGCAACCAAGTCCATTTGAAAGCTCTAACTGGCTTTATTATTCGATTCATGAACTGAGCGGCCTCTCTGGCAAGTACAGAGGAGTTCCAAAGGGCTATTGAAAAGGAAAGGCTTTTAAAGGTTTGAAAAGGGAAGTTTTTTGAAGGTAGAGAGGGAGTGGAAAAAAGGAAATTTTTAGCCAGGAAATCCCTTGTTTCAGGCAAGGGTGCCTTCCTAAGGGGAATGGAAGGGGCCTCTCAATAAATTTCCTAGTGCTGACCAGAAAATTCCACGTGGTCTGGTTACAGGTTTCCTTCTGGGAGGCTGAAACGGCAGTTCGGTTAGGGATCAGATCTTGTTTTCCTGACTTGGTCTCGAATCTAACCTGCTAATGCAATTAATTTCTAACTAGGGAGTCCTCCATCGGATAGAGCATCACCGTCTCCTGAACTGTGCGGGTGTGTGCGTGTGTGTGTGTGTGCATGCGTGCGCACACTTGGATTCTTTTTTTCTTTTCCTGTAGGTTTTCCCCCACTGCTTGGGGGTCACAACTAGGTTGGTGACAACAGACATCCATTCTCTCCCTGGGGTGGGATGACATAATTGGCGGCATCCCAGAGTGGCTCCCTGAGCTCTGAGGTGTTGGTGAAGGTCACGTCCGTGACTCCAGGGGCACGCTGCTCTGCAGGGAGGTGCTGGTGTTTTGGTAACCCCGCTTCACCAGGAACCACCAGGTTGTGCACGTCACCACGGAGACCCGCGACGGCCGATACAGCAGGCCCACTTCTTGTTCTTGGCAATGACATACTTTTCTGTCCTGGGGTTGGACGACAGCTGGTGGAGCCCCTTCAGCCGCCAGCCCCATGGTGCCGCCTCCTCCGTGCCTGTGGCCCCCGCTGCGACATGTGTGTCACGTGGGGAGCCACTCCCCCTCCCGGGCCCCGACCTCCTCCGCTTGGCAGCAGCCCCAGGATGCATTTCCCTTAATTATCAGAACTATGATGTATCAAATACTTCCATCCCTTTACGTTCCCCTTGCACAGGCTGTACTAATAGTAAACTAAGTGCACGCCCTTATCAGAAAACATAGGTGTCCCTTAAAAAGGCGGGCGAAGGGCGCCTTGGTGGCTCAGTCGGTTGAGCATCTGACTTCAGCTCAGGTCATGATCTCATGGCTGGTGAGTTCGAGCCCCGCATTGGGCTCTGCGCTGACAGCTCAGAGCCTGGCGCCTGCTTCCAATTCTGTGTCTCCTTCTTTCTCTGCCCCTCCCCCACTCACGTTCTGCCTCTCTCTGAAAAATAAATAAACATTAAAAAAAAAAAAAGAAATCACAGGCATCCCAAGAACAGCAGGGAAGCTGATGAGAAACGGCTGCATGATAAAATCACGGTCTTGGATTTTTTCCCCCACAACATTTATTCTTTTAACTCCCATTTTTCCGCCGCGTGCGCCTCCCGACACGTTACCTCAAAATGAGACCAAAGGAAGACACGTGGGTGACATACAAAAAGACAATATTTATTTCACTCAAGCGTTCCTATAAGAAGTTAAACAAAATGATCCCAGTTGGAAGGCATTACCAAAAATATTAACGTTGTTTCACATATCCCTTCAGTGCCCAGATAAAGGAACAACTTATCTGAATGAAAGAGTAAAGAATGACCATCCTTACAGTGGGTTTACTTAGGTCTGCGGAGAAAAACAATCCGTAGAGTTGAGGCATAAAATAGCAAATGAAGCTACTAGTTTCCTACAGGTGATGGAAAAGCCACTGATGCGTTAAAGTTTCCCAAGAGCTCCTGAGGCCTGGGGTGGCTTTTCAGGAATTAGAGAGCAGCCCTAGCTAGTCCCGTAATCCACCGCCCCCTTTTCCTTCAACTAGTTCATGGCTAAAAGAGGAGAATGGAACCAAGTACAATTTCCCCGCTCCCACGCTGTGACCGTCAGCACCTGCAGCCTCTTGGGGACTCGCAATTCCAAGGCGCCCCCCTCAATGCCGTCTACAAAGAACGCCGGGCGGGGGGGGGGATGGCTCTGGGTACCCGTCTTTCACCTCAATGTGACCCCCACCCCCAAAAAAAAGCCCAAGGAGGAAACACGTTGACATCTACCCTTGGCGAGGGGGTTCCTCAGAAAAGCCGGGCACACCCGTCCACCGTAGGGCCTGCGGGTGGCCACTCTTGCCCAAACTTGTGGAGAGGCGGCATCTCGGACCCACGCTGCACCGGTCACGCCGCCCGGCTAAATCCAACAGGTGACCGTCTGGAGAACTCGTGGTTACGGAGTTTTCAAGTTCCTGCCAGGAATCTGAGTCTGTGTGCCTGAGGTGAGAAACACTGTGGGCGGAGGGGAACCCCTCACTTCAGCGGGCTTCGTTGCATCTGGAGGAAGGAGGGGAGGCAGAGGGGAACGTCGCTGTGCCCATGTGCTAGGGCTGGGTGAGGAGGGAGCCCTGACTCGGTGTGCCCAAAAAAGAAAAAAAGATGGATACAAATGTTGGCGCCTCAGAAGCTATCAATATAGGCTGCAAAACCTAGTCATAACCATTCGTGGGGAAGGGGGAGGACATAACTACCCTCTTCGGAAGCAAACAGCCAGGTCCTAAGTGAGGAGGGTACCTCTTTTCTGTTGAGAAAAATGCATAGAGAGACAGCCAACGCTGAAAACCTTCAAACAGATGCAGGCTCACGCAAGAAGTTACAAAACACGCAAGAATCAGTCATCGCTTCTTAGTGGCCTCACACTTTACCTGAGATGCAAATTCCTGCCTGCTCTTCTGGGTGTTCTGAGCAGCTTTAAATTCTAATTTCTTGCGAAAGGGGACGGAGGGACACGACGGCGGGAATGAGGGGCCGACGTGGCAGGGGAAACGGGTATGGGAACCGGGAGGCTGGAAGCTCTGGATAATGACCGCTGGAGACAGAGGGGTCAGAACGGGGAGGGGGTGGGGGCCTCAACCAGACCGTCAACCCTTTGAGTGGTGCCTCCCAGCCGGGGGCCTAGCACAGTCTGGACACAGGGGGAGTATGTGACCGGAGCAGCAGAGGCGAAGAAGAAAGACCGCATCAGAGGCGGCCCGCTTCAGATGCCGGTGCCCAGGGCGGCATCCCGCCTCCACTGCCCTTAGCAGCCGGCCGTGGCTTTGAAAGGTCTCGGTAAGGAGCTGCCTCTGCTCTCACTGCAAGGTCATGCTCGTGGCCAACACCGACCCTGGGCCTTTCAAAGCGGGGAAGATCCCTGCTCAGGGGGCCGGGGAGTCTGGACTGCAAAGGGTTTGAAGAGCCACAAACGTTCCGCGAGACCGGGAGCAACAGGCAACAGATTCCGTCAATCTCGTCTGTTGCAGATTCCGTCAATTGTGTCTGTCAGATTCCGGCCCCACCCCCACCCCCCATGACTCAAGTCTGGCATCAGCGTTTGCACCCAGAATGAGTCCCCCCCCCCGAAACACATACGTCCTGCAGAAGTTGTCACAACTCTTGATAATATTAACTCTACCGCCATCGCCGCTCTTTGCTTTATCCCTACTTTGAAGCCTTCGACAGGGATGTCCGGTTTTCTAATTCAACGACAATGACGCCGTTCTCTTCGCCAAAGAGCCCCTTGTGTTTAGTTTCTCAGTGCACAACCTGACATAAAGACTGTGGCTCTCATGAGCCGCCTGTTTTCAAATGGCCCAGTAGTTTCGCTTTCCATTTAACGCGTCCCCAGATAACAAACAGAGAGTGGGATGAATCTTCACAAGGTCACGCCGAAGGGTAAACTAAATTAGCCCCGTCACTGAGAGGCTCTCTTCAGGTTTTCTATCAGCACTACAGAGTCAGTTTCTTCTTTGGTTTGCTTCTCATAGATGTCGTACTTCTTCCAGTGCTGGAAGGGAAGAAAACACACACGCAATGATTCTTCTAAACAATGTTCTCCCCTGAGGACTCCCAGCCGGGGCTTAATTTTAGCTTTGCGTGCACGGAACTAGGAGTGTATGTCTTCCTGTTACGGCTTTGATTTTTTTTTTTTAACCTAAGAATCTTCATCTATTTGAACAATGAAACAAAACAATCAGGAGTTAACGTGGGGGGGGGGGACCATGGATTGTGACGCGACGTTAAAGAGCTATCTCAGGAGACACGCTGGACATCTTCAAAACTGGAAATGAAGTCTTTTGAAGAAGAATAGGGTGGCAGTGCTTTTTCTTACTTTAACCGTTACTCCCTTTATTTTCTTACCACTCAAATGTGCCCTCTGTTCCCGAGATACGATACGCTCAAAATGTCGACCAGCATCTAGGCCACTGGCAATATATAAAATGTCCCCAAAATAGTCTTAGCACAGTTAAACCTTCTTAAAAGACCCTATATTAATGGTTTCGTGTAATGACATTTGCTAGAGCCAGGAATTATGCATAAGGTAAGCTCATCTTTTTTTTTTTTAATTTTTAATACTTATTTACTTTTGAGAGAGAGAGAGAGAGAGAGAGACAAAGCGCAAGTGGGGGAGGGGCAGAGAGAGAAGGAGATGAGGAATCTGAAGCAGGCTCCAGGCTCTGACCCGACAGCTCAGAGCCCTACGCGAGACTCGAACACACAGGCTGTGAGATCATGACCTGAGCCGAAGTCGGATGCTTAACTGACTGAGCCACCCAGGCGCCCCAAGGTAAGCTCATCTTGAGCTCAATGTTAAGTGTGTCTCATACGGTAAAAGTCAATATCCTGGTTTTTGCCTTCCTTACTTAAAATTCAAGGGAAAGGGTGGAACCTGACCTCAGTCCCCTCATCTGTAAGATAAAGTTGCTAGACGAAACCTGGTGTCTATGCAGACTATGGTGTAAGAGCAGACTCCAGCAGGCTGTTTTTGTAAATAAAGTTTTATTGGAACACGGCCACCGTCCGTGGCTGCTTTCATGCTACTGCAGCAGAGGTTGAGTTGCCGTGACTAAGACCGAGTGGTTCGGTAAGTCGGAAATAGTGACTATCTAGCTCTTTACAGAAAAAGTTTGCCAACCCCTACACTAGATTATTTCCAAGCTCCTTCTCTGCTTTGATGTTTTCTGGTTCTAGAAGCCCAAGAAAGGAAATGGAGAGCAGGAAAACAGAAACAAGGGCAACAGTGAGTATTCAGCTGCCTTGGGCTGTACAATGGGAGATGGACTGAGCCAGTTACGAGCGCCTAGTCTCAGAAAGCTGATGGAGGGAAGAGCTGAGAAACGCTGTTTAAAATATCCAACGTATTCTAAATTATTTAACCCTCACACTCCTAGTAGAAGGGCTAAAATAAAAAACACTGGCAATTCCAAGTGCTGACACAGATGCAGAGTAACTGGATCTCTCACCTATTGTCGGTGGAAACGTCACAGACTACAGCCACTATGGCAAACAGCCTGATGGCGTCTTAGAAAACGCAGCATACGCTGACCGCAAGACCCAAAAATCCTACTCCTACGGATCCACCCAAGAGAAATGGAAACATGTATCTCCACAGAGACCTCTACGTGACTGTTTACAGTAGCCTTTATTCATAAAAGCCCCAAACTGGAAACGAGCCCAATGCCCTTGGACAGGTGAGTGGTTAAATCAACTGCGGCACAGCAATATAATGGAATGTCACTCAGCAATGAAAGGGAATCAACTACTGATACACGCAACAACACGGATGTCTTTTGAATGCATTGTGCTTAGTGAAACAAGCCAGACTCGAAAATCTATGTATTTGGTGATACCCTTTGGATGACATTCTGGAAAAGGTAAAAATTTTAGGGACAGAAAGCAGATCGGCAGTTGCAAGGATCTAGGGGCCGGAGTGAGGGGGGTGACGGCGAAGGGGCGCGAGAGAACGTTGCGGAGGACAATGAAGATGTTCTGTATCTCAACTGGAGCGGTGGCTCTAAAACCCTGAATGCGTTTGCTAAAACTCCTCCACAGGTAACGCTTAAAAAGAGCACATTTTATTTGGCAGGGGTCTAATCAATGAATCTGGAGTTTTGAAAATGTGAAGCGCACAGACTTCTAATAAAAAAACAATCTGAAAAAATGACATAAGCTTGAAATAATGGCTTATTCAATAAATGGCACTACGACAACTGGCTAAGCATTTGAAAAGTAAAAGTTAAACCCTACTTGACGGCCCACATGCATAAATTCCCTGTGGGTTAAAGATCTAAACGTAAAAACCAAAACCAAGTAAATACCAGAAAAATACACTGGGCAACAGCTACATAAGGCTGGGATAGGAAAAGGCTTCCTCCCCATAAAAAATAAAGATCTGCATGCACAACGTTCACACATCGTCCATCACCCGAAATTCCACATAAAGGCAAAGAGACCACAAGCTGAAGGATTAATAGCTGATAGACCCAAAGAGCCTCACAAACTGCAAAGTTTCCAAAGGATGAACATGGCAGGGAAAAAATGGACAATGACCATGAATTTCACAACAGAATTACTTCCAGCCAATGAACATACCAAACAGTATGAAAACTGATACATAAAATCAAAACAAGATGCCCTTTGGGGAGCCTGAGTCAGCTGAGCATCAGACTCTTACTTGCGGCTCAGATCACGATCCTGGGGTCCTGGGATCGAGCCCCACCTTGGGCTTCGTGCTTCAAGCATGGAGCTTGGTTAAGATTCTCCTCTCTCTCTCTCTCTCTCTCTCTGCTCCTCTCCCCTGCTCTCAATCTCAAAAAAAGAAAACACCTTAAAACAAGATGCCCTTTTCTCATCCGTCAATTGGCGAGGTGTTTTTGTTTTAATTAGACACACTCACGCTAGCAAAAGTGTGGCAAAACCACCCCTGAGGCAGCACGGAGACACTGAGCCAGGTATATAAGTTGGTACAACCTACTTGTCATCTATGGCTCCTGTGAACGATTTAGGAGTATGTATTCTAACGCTCCCGTGTCCTTAATCTGAAGGAATCAGACTCTACATCGGAAACCAGGGTGTTTCATTTAACAACATATATTACATATTTTTATATGTCAGTAAAACAGATCTACCTCATTTCTTTGCCCTGTGCATAATATTTCATCGCATGAATGCACCCTAATTTATCGAACCAGTAACCTTAAGAGACAGTTAGCCTGTAAATCCTTTCTGGATGATAGTCTATCAATACTAATCAAAGAGTTTAAAATGTATAACCTCCTTTGATCCAGCCACTTTTCTCACGACCATTTATCCCTTCAAAATAATAAAACATATATGCTAATAGAGCTGTGAAATGATGCCTATGATAATGAAGTTTAGAAGTCATATAAGGACGCCTGGGTGGCTCAGCTGGTTGAGCATCTGACTTTGGCTCAGGTCATGATCTCACAGTTTGTGACTTCAAGCCCTGCGTCGGGCTCAGTGCTGATGGCTCAGAGCCTGGAACCTGCTTTGCATTGTGTCTCCCTCCCTCTCTGACCCTCCCCTACTTGTGTTCTCTCTCTCTCTCAAAAATAAGTAAACATAGGGGCGCCTGGGTGGCTTAGTCGGTTAAGCGTCCGACTTTCGCTTAGGTCATGATCTCGCGGTTCGTGGGTTCGAGCCCCGCGTCGGGCCCTGTGCTGACTGCCAGCTCGGAGCCTGGAGCCTGTTTCAGTCTGTGACTCCCTCTCTCTCTGACCCTCCCTTGCTCACGCTGTCTCTCTCTCTCTCCTAGAAATAAATAAAACATTAAAAAAAAATAAGTAAACATAAAAAAAAAACCCATATAGGAAAGAGAAGTAGGGTAAGAAGGAGAGCAAAACTCAGACGCACAGACACAGTCTACAACAAAACCAGATCAAAAGGGTCTCCCCACGGACCCTGAAATGTGAAGGGGTGGAACAGAATAGAGCGGGCGACAGGAGCACAGTGGAGTCCGTCATGGGGGAGTATGGAGAGGGAACCAGCAGCACATTTGACAGATCTGAGAACTCTAAAATAACCCAAACCCCAGCAAGCTACTTTATGAACAACTGAGCCCGGCACGGGTCTGCCCTTTCGAACAGTGACCGGGTGCAAGGAGCCCATGGTATAGCCTGGGAGCTGCCTGGGCCTCAGGAACTCTCAAATCACCCAAAGCTCCTTTCCGGAACAAAGGGCCACTCTGAGGAGCCACCAGGGCGGACAGACTCCACGCTGGCCAGGACAGAGATGAGAGAGATCAAACACAAAGTCCAGGTAAAAGCAGAGAAGGCGGATGGGGGTGGGGGTGGGTGGGAAGATTTCGGTAAGAAAGTCATTATACTTTGAACCACTGTCAAAAATGATAGAAGATGGAACTCCATAGCCATGAAAGTAGGAAAAGAGAAAACTATCCTAAGTCCAGCCTCTTTCTAAAACATCAGGGAAATGAATTTCATGTAAAAATCAGCAACAGAATAAAAGCCTTGCAGAATTAAAAAATTCAAGGATGTCCCCTCAAATTACATGAAATTATAGTCTACTATTTTAAAAGTAGCTCAAATATATTAAGAAAAAGTTATATGATATGAAAAAATATACATGATATGGAAGAATATAAAAGTATAGAATAAGAACTACTCAGAAATCACCTGTCAAGATTCAGGAAAGAAGGAGAAGTAAGAGAAAATCATTTCAGAAATGAAGATTAATCTACAAGGAACATAGGGGTAAATGAACATAACAGATAATGCCTTAAGAGAAACAGAAGATGAAAAGGAAGGCTGTTTTATTTAAAAATAAAATGAAGGCGGCTCAGTCAGTTAAGCATCCAACCCTGGATCTCAACTCAGGTCACGATCTCAAGGTTTGTGAGCTCGAGCCCCGCATCAGGCTCTGCGCTGATGGTGCAGAGCCTGCTTGGGATTCTGTCTCTCCTTCTCTCTGCACCTCCTCTGTTTGTGCTCTCTCTGTCTCTCAAATAAATAAACTCAAGAAAAATTTTAA